GGACCAGGAGGCAGGGCCCCACCCATACGCGAATTCGTGCACTGGGCCTCTAGTTTCTTTATAAAACATTCTCATTGTCAGTTAGATTTAATTTTTCATTTTGTTAAAAGTTTCCATTTCAGCCTGGATATGGCTGTACTTTAGGTATATAAACCAAGTATTTTGGGGGTGAACCTGATTAAAATTAAGTTGGAACTGCCGGTTTAGACATTTGGTGTATGGGCTTGGCGAAGGAGCCATCTGTGGGATTGACTCAACCTCTCTAAGTGAATCCCGCCCCGGCAGAATGATAGGCAGCTCCTCCAAGCCTCAGTTGCCCCCCATGGCTGGTCCCCAGCAGCCACACGGGCACCCAGCTGGCTGCCGTGGGGATGGGGTCCTATGGGGAGAGCCCCTCCTCGGGTGAAATGGGGCACAGCCAGAAAGGGGCTGCCTTCTTGGCCGGCATGCAACGCTCATTGTACGTTGTTCCCGACCTGCTTCTGGGTGGGAGTTTTGTATATAGCAGAGCAGCTCCTTCGCTTTGATCTTCTGAAAGTCAGCTCCCCACAGGAGGGTTTATAAAAAAATAAAATTTAAGTTGGATTTGAGAAACTAGCCGCTGCTTGGAAAGGTGTATTTCACATTGACACCTGGACATTGAAAAGCAGTTGAGTCTACAGGTCCCTTATCTTGTTCAGAGCCCTGTAGGGTGGGGATGTCCTCATTTGAAGATGATCAAGGTCAGCAAGATCAGGTGTCATGTTCAACATCACACAGTCGGGTCAAATCCAGACTTGGTAACTTGAGGTCCTAGCATCTTTCTAAATGCCACAGCTCCTTACGCCCTAAAGATAAGTGCAACTTGGAGGACGGTGTTAGGTGCTCTTGGCCAACATTGGAATTCCATTCACCCAGAGCCACACTCAGCTGGAACCCTTCTGAGCTCGGGATGGCGGGAACAGTGTTGAACACTGTGGTGGTTCTTGGAAATGCACTCCGGAGCCTCCTCTCCTATAAATGGTCCACGTGTGGGGACTGCACCAGAGACCAGGGCCCCCCACTCACACACCGCTGGTCCCCATGGCGATAGTGTGGGGTGTATACAGGGGCCCCAGAGAAGATAAACGGGGTTTTCCAGGCCCCAGGAACCCTTTGGGATACCTGAGTGTGTCTCTCTCTTGCCCCCAGCCTGGCTCCCATGATGAGTGCTGAGCTCAATGTGCCTGTGGACCCCTCCACCCCTGCCTGCCCTGAGCCTGGCCACAAGGGCATGGATTACCGGGACTGGGTCCGCCGCAGCTACCTGGAGCTGGTCACCTCCAACCACCACTCCGTGCAGGCCCTCTCCTGGAGGAAGCTCTACCTGAGCAGGGCCAAACTGAAAGCCTCCAGCCGCACCTCCGCTCTCCTCTCAGGCTTTGCCATGGTGAGTGCAGACACTTGGTGGGAACCTGGCTTGCAAAATGGGCTCTGGCACTCCCTCTGGGCCCTACTGGCAGCCAGGATGGACCGTTAGGAAGTTTCCCCACATCCCATCTCCTCCAAGGTGACTGTGACTGCTCTGTCAACCAGAGGGGCTGCTGGGCATACAGGGGAGTTCCCAAGCCTCAGAGCCCACAGAAAGAGCCACTCTCACATTCACATATAAGTATTTGCCTGGCCAGGAAGTTAGGGTGGTAATTAAAATAGCTTTAGATTTCCTGGAGAAAAGTACCCACATCTGCTCATCTCAGGAACCACCCAAGAGTTGGGAAATCTCAAGGACTTGAGCAGGAACTGTGGATTGATTTGGGTTTATGCAGTGTAGCCCAACTGGGGTGCAGATGCCCCCAAATGTGGCCTCCAGGGTGGCTAATCAGAGCCTCTGGCCTCACTCCCAGCTGCCCACCTGTGGCTTTCCTTCTGCGTCATTCCCAAGACAAGCGGGGACAAGAGTCCGTCTCAGGCAAAACTGAGGGCACTGTTGACTCTAAAGCCCTCAACCCACATCCCTTTAGGGAATTGCCCTGAGGATGCAGATGTCAGGAGTCACACTACTGGGGCTGCGGCAACCTCTCTCTCTGTTGTATGTTCAGAGGTCCTGTGGGCCGGAAGCAGGGGTTTATTTATGTAAAGACAGTTGCTGTTTTTCTGTAGTCCAGAGCCTCAGTTGTCAAATTGGCAGTGCAGAAAATAAAAAGCTGTCAGGGTGAGCCACTGTGGTCATTCCTCTGACAAGGGCATGCTTGGTCATCGGTAGGGCCACCTTTGGAAAAATGACACCCTACACAGTCAGGGCATGACTTCATACAGAGTGAGGCAGAGGTCACCAAACTGAGAGGCAATAAATTTTGGTTTAGGTCTACTTTAACGCAAAGGCTTATTTAGGTCTTGTGTTTTTGTTTTCTTAAACATAATTACAAAAGTGTGCAATTACATGGTGCACAGCTTTGGCTCAGAGTGATTTTCTTCCTGCGGTTTCCATCACATTAAAAAGACAAAATTTTGCCCAGCCGCTGTAGCTCAGTGATTGAGCCTTGACCCATGAACCAGGTCACAGCACAATCAGATCAGGGCACGATCCCTAGTAGGGGGAGTGCAGGAGGCAGCCGATCATTGCTTCTCTCTCATCACTGATGTTTTGTTGTTTTTTTAATATATTTTTATTGATTTCAGAGAGGAAGGGAGAGGGAGAGAGAGATAGGAACTTTGGGAAATGAACTCTGGGAAGTCTTGAACGACATGATGCAGTGAGACAGTTTTCTTTCTGGGTGGGGCCTGGGTCTGAGAAATCACTTCCTGTCTGCAGCTGTCTTAGAGACCCTGGCCTTCCAAACATTTGGATTTCCAAACTTAGGGCAGCTTTCCTGTTTTCCAGCCAACAAAATACTCATCCAACTTGAAGGCTTTAAAACCACTCATTCAGAATTTGAAAACTAGCCCTTGAATAAAGTTATCAAACAGAGTGACTTCCGGAGGAGGAGTCTGAGATGTACTGGCAGCCTTCAAGGGTATGACGTGGTCTCAGGATGAGAACAGTGGGCCCCAGAGTGCTCTCATTAGCTTGGCAATGGCGGTCATACTTCCCAGTAGTAATTCATTTCTTCAGCATTTATGGAATATCTACTGTGTACCAGCAGGTGCTTCATTAAGCAGCCTGGGGATACATTTTAGAAGCCACACGGTGCCCTTGCCTTCTCTTCTAGGAGGTCCCTCTCAGGAAGGCTGTCCAGCCTAACATGCACCGAGATTTCGCCATCGCAGTGAAACAGCATGGAGCCAAGTCAAGGGCAGATTAATAGACCAATAAATCAGATAACCATTCAGGCTGTGGTGCAGCTTGGGAGGAAGAAGTGACCAGTACAGATCCTCAGATAGCATTTGGCTGTGGCCAAATAAGGGCAGGGACATGCACAAATGAAAATAGACAGTTTGCTAGGTGGAATCCCCTCTTTATACTATGGATTCCCTAATTAGAATTGTAAAACAATAAGTACTTATGCCCAACCTTAAGCTTATTTCTTCATGTTTATTCTTCTAACACAGAGAACCAGTGATCTGAAACCTACTCTTTATATAAACAAAATGAAAAATGGCCTTTTGGCTTTTCTCCTCTTGAGGCAGAATACAACTGCTTCCTTGTAGGCCTTTTAATCGTCTTTGTTTCTTATCTCGGTGCCCTCTGTGGTTTACAACATCCTTTTGTTGGGCCAGAGCCTATCCAGTCCACAGGGGCACAGAGAAAAGACCACCCTTCAGCTTCTGTCATGGGCTACTATCTTTTTGGAGCAATATTTACTGCTGGGTTTCTGTTCAGGTATGGTCCACTAGGACTGCTGTATCTTCTTTTTAACTACCAAATGTGCCATCTCCACTGAGGGGATGAGGTGCTCACTCTGAGAGGTGGTAGTTGCTAGAAGTTGTGACATCCTTATTATTAATTTAACATACATATTTTATTGATTTCAGAGAGGAAGGGAGAGGGAAAGATAGAAACATCAATGATGAGAATCATTGACCGGCTGCCGCCTGTACACCCCCTATTGGTGCTTGAGCCCATAACTGGGGTATGGGTCCTGACTAGGAATTGAATCGTGACCTCCTGGTTCATAGGTCGATGCTCACCACTGAGCCACACCAGCTGGGCTCTTGTTAATTTTTAAAAACAGGGATGACTCAGATCTAGGAGGCAAACACAGTGAGTGGAAAAACCTTCCTCTGGCTTCTCTCTTTCTGCCCCACCCCACTCCCTTCCTGGTCTGATTTCATACTTTCGAGTACCTGGGAGAAGGCCCTTGGTGAGCCCCAGAGCCCTTCCTGGGCCTGGACTAAACCCTCCACTGGGGAGGCCCGCAGTGCTGAGCGCTGGGACGGTGGCGGTAGGGTGCTGGGCCTCAGAGGGCGCTGTTCGGAATGGATGGGGCCAGACCTGGCAGGGGCAGAGGCAGGAATGTGTTGCTGTCTGTAGTTTGAAAGCCACATGGGGCCTGGGGTGAGCATGTACTACCTAATGGCTATAAGCATTCACTGCTACAGAGATAAGCGGGGGCTTTTTCTGGTTCCCTCTGTGTCTGTTTTTTTCCCTTTCATTTAAAAAATAACTTTTATCATTTATTACGTGTCCATAGTTTAGAAATTAAATACAGTTGACCCTTGAACATGGGTTTGAGTCCACTTACACATGGTGGGTGCGCCCGACACTCCGTGCTGCTCCAGGGCCAGCTATACTGTGACTTGTCACAATCCCAGCAGCCCTACCCATATTCTCCACTCCCAGAGGCAGCCTCTTGCAGCTTTCTCAGTCTTCTCGGTTCCAAATGACATTTGGAGACTGTTTCTTTATCCATTTTGGACGTTACCTGTTGGCATCCTGTGACTGTGGATGACGATTCAGCTCACTCTTCCCAGCCCACCCTCCTTCCCACGGCTGCCCCTCCTCGCGTGGCCCTCATGTCCATCACCATTCCTGGCCTTTAGATATAGATGCAGTTTCTCTCTCTGGCTTTTGGTGTCAGCTGAGAGATGCACCCTGTGGTCTGTGTGAGGCTGTCTGGGTTTGCAGCTCTGAGTCTGGGCACCATCAGAAGCCTCTGTTTTTACTTTTTTTTTTTTAACCTTTTAAAAGGTCCGTTTTTATTTTTAAAATAGGGGGTTTTTTTGCAGCTAAGCCACACTGCAGCCTGGCTCTGATATCAATAGCAAAGCCACATGTGCCCTGGCTCATAGCTTGGCACCTCAGATACACCACACATTCCGTGTCTGGGAAGGCACCTGGAGGGTGACTCGCCCCGCTTGGTGCTTCTTTAGTCTCTCTGTACCTTTAGATTTTTTTCTCAGTGAGATATTCTTTAGCGAATCAGAAAAAAAGGCAAGTTCAAAATAGTTGAGCAGCAAAGAGTGTCCTGTGCTCCGCAAGGGCCTGGAAGGTGCTTGCGCAGCCCAGCAGCATCCGCTCTGCCTTGCAGGTGGCCATGGTGGAGGTGCAGCTGGAGACGCAGTACCAGTATCCACCGCCCCTGCTCATCGCCTTCAGTGCCTGCACGACGGTGCTGGTGGCCGTGCACCTCTTCGCCCTGCTCATCAGCACGTGCATCCTGCCCAACGTGGAGGCCGTGAGCAACATCCACAACCTCAACTCCATCAGCGAGTCGCCGCATGAGCGTATGCACCCCTACATTGAGCTGGCCTGGGGCTTCTCCACCGTACTCGGCATCCTGCTCTTCCTGGCTGAGGTCGTGCTGCTCTGCTGGATCAAGTTCCTGCCTGTGGATGCACGCCACCAGCCCGGCCCTGCACCCGGCCCCAGTGGCCACACAGGCTGGCAGGCCGCCCTCGTGTCCACCATCATCATGGTGCCTGTGGGTCTCATCTTCGTGGTCTTCACCATCCACTTCTACCGCTCGCTGGTGCGCCACAAGACCGAGCGGCACAACCGCGAGATCGAGGAGCTGCACAAGCTCAAGGTGCAGCTGGATGGGCACGAGCGCAGCCTGCAGGTCGTGTAAGGGCGCGACTCCCCTGGGGGCTGGGAGCCAACAGAAACAGCCTGCTTTTGAGGGAATTTTAAAAATGTAAATTGCCATGAGGCTGCCTAGACACTGCCAGATAGTTCAACACCAAAGTTTTACTCCTGTCTTAATGCCGTAAAATCCAGCTCATTTTCCCTCAGAAAATGGAAATCCTTAAAACGAGAGACTGACTCTGTTGCTAAGAGCTTAGGGCAAAGAAAGGCTGAGTCCTTGGCCCTGGGACCCGGGCAGGGCTCCAGCACTGGTCATCCCAGAGGTGGGGAAGGAGTGGCCAGCAGTGCAGGGAGCCTGGCGGAGGCCGGGAGTCAGGCTAGGTAGGGCTGTGAGTTCAGAGGATTGCCCATGACTCCTCAGGTGCACTGCCTGGCAGCCGGGTGGCACATTTGATAGTACCAGCCTGCTGTGATTCGGTGGAAATTGTGGCAATTAGATGGGCACAGGATTACTGCTGGGCCTGGTGCTTCCCTCCCCTGCTCTGCAGGGAGTTGGGTGGCCTGGCTTGAGGGCAAGGCAGGAGCCTGGGGCACATGTCAGCCCAGCAGGTATGGGTACTCCAGGAGGAGGCAGACTTGTCAGGGCCTGGGGGAGACTTCCACGAGTGGAGGCCTGGCAGAGTTGGGGAGGCATGTCTGGGGGCAGCCTACTTGAGGAGGCTGTTAACTAAGGGGTACTCCAAAGCACACTGGGCTCAAATTCTTTCTTCCCAGCCAGCCTGGAGCCCTGGCCACATTGACCCAGCAAGGCTACCAGGTTGGGAAGAGCCCACAGTCCAGAGGCCTACATCTCTTGGCCACAGAATGCCCTCTGAGCCTGATCCTCCAGGCTCTGGTCCCAGAAGGCCAGGAGCATTTGCTCAGGTGGCAGAGCCTGCCCATCTCCCTGCTGCCCATGGTGCCTGGCAGCAGAGGGGCAGCTTGGGGGACTTGCTATCTAGACAAGGCTGTCAGCCTGGTCTGGTCTAGGGGTGGTAGCACCAGGGCCAGCCCTGGCCAAATGTGGGTCTTGCTCATGAGATGGAACAAATGCAGAGAATGCACAACCCACATCATGCCTCCCCCCGGGCCCCAGCCTCTCAGCCACAGCCAGCGCGTTTACTGCCGTGTGCAGCATGGGCTCTGGTTGCCCTAGCTCGTGTTCTTGGGCTGTTCACATACAGGCTACAGCTCAGCTTACGTGTGAGCATGCTATACCCCGAGCTGCTTCTAAAAACCACCTTTACCACTTTGGCTGGCAGCCAACTGGAGAAGGAGGCCATTTCCTCATTGGACTTCATGCTCTGATGACATTTCTATCCACAGCCTAATATCTCTGTGGGATCTGGGTGGCCTGGCTGAAGTTTCTGGGAATGTGACCTACTGGTGAGAGCATAAACCTCAACCTGTAACTCTGAAATGCTGACTGGTGACACTTATGGGGAGCCTGGACATGGTGTCCCTCCAGGCCAGAGAAGAGGCCTGGCGTCTTCTAAAGGGCGTGTCCCCTGTACCTTCTGCAGACATCTGTCCCGACTTGCTTGCTCTCTAGTGCATGTTTCCTCTTTCCCACAGTCTTGTTGAAAAGGCTTAATTGGTTTAATGTGTTTGCTTTGCAAAAGAATGTCAGCATCACTGCAAGACAGCCACTTGGTGACCTGGCAGTGACAAAACTAGCTGGGAGCAGGCAGCAAGCTCTTCCTCTGGCCTGAGCCTTTTGAGGGGTCATGCTGAGCTCACTCCTGCTGCCACTTTCCTGGGCCATTTGGTACCACTGCCCCAAGTGTGCCAGGTCCACAGAGTCCCATGTTCCCCAGACTGGAAAGCACACCCCAGTGTCAGTGGGGGCCCATTATGCCTGATCCACGGGCAGAGCTTTCGGCCTGACCGCAACAAGGTCAGATACGAGGTGCGCAATGACAGTGCCACATACCACGTTCAAACTGGGAGAGTAACGTTCCTGTCATTTCCTGTTCTCATCCAGAGTGCTTTCCCAGCTCCAGCCTTTCTAGAGACATGAGGCAAAGAATTTCTGTGGGAACAGAGATGACAGTGAGTCTGGGGACTGGTGATGGGCGGGGTGGGGGAAGGACCACCTCAGGATAGCGGCGGAGCTTGTCTGGAGATGGAGGATAAGCTGCGCTTTGGAGCTGCAGGAACAACTCTGCAGGGCAGTTTAGGGGAGGGGCTGGCAAATTACAGGCTAGAAATTCGGATTCCGGAGATTTAAGGAGATTGTAGACTGTTCCAGTACAGGCCTCTCCATGGGGAGGCGCCATGGGCCGCCCCGGGGCAGCGTGGGCTTGCCCTGTTTCCCTCTGAGCAGAGCCTTCCTGGTGCTCGTAAAACAAATGCCTGCAAATACTTGAGGCCCGTTCCAAAGTGGAACACAGTCTCCATTTAGTACCTGACCAGAAGTATCAAAACTGAAGTGTTTCTATTTTAGAAACTGTGGGGACAGAACATATCTTAGTGTCTTCTAGGAAGGTCTGTGGAGGATAAAATCACAGAAGCTGAGCGGACAGGTTCATCTGTAGTCCTTATCTGTCTTGTGATTAGTTCATTACGCATGACACTGTGTAGATCACGTACGGGGTACAGACCACAGTCCTGTATATGGATTTTTAAAAGTTGCCCTGGATTGAACTGAATAAAAAAGCTACACACTGCTTTCTGTCTGGGTGGAATGCTGTGATAGCTGCTGGTCCTTCCCTGGTGTCTGCTGCATCCTGGATCCTTAAGCCCCTCCTGCCTCCTCCTATTTGGTGATCACCGCCAGTGTCCTAATAGGTTTCCCAGGTCAGAGACTTCTCTGGAATAGACAGACAGGGGACTTGGACCCAGTCATGCCACAAGTTCCCACCTAGTGGGGCCCCTCTGCCTGGCAGCTTCCCTTCCCTTTCCAGAAACACCACAAGGGGCAGCCCCAGGTACAGCCGAGTGCCAGCAGAGCCATCTGGACAGGGTCAGCTTGAAGTCCCCCAGGAGAGGAGCCACTGAAGCGCTGGTCCCTCTGGGCTTTCTCCAACCCCAGGCACCTGTGGCTCTGGGCTGAGGCAGGTGTCCAGCTGGGCAGCAGTAATGCAGAGCCCTCCCGTGGCCTGGTGGCACTCACAAGGAAGCTCCCAGATTTTCTGTTTTGTAATAGTTGTCCAATGAGGTAGAGGCCCTTCTAGGAAAGAATTTCTGTCCATTATTAATTTTCTGGCACTTTAAGCCAGACAGTCCTAGGAATTAGGCATGCAAAGCAGGTGACACCACTATAGGGAAAGTTCTGCCAATACAGGGGGCCAGACTGCCTCTGCAGCCCGGAGGGAGGACTCCTCAGGCCCTGTGGGTCCCCCTGGGCTCAGGGGCAGCAAACTAACTCTGTAGACCATTTCCCCAGCAAGCCTAGCAAGCCTGTGGTCAGGCCCACTTACCGTTCAGCTCACCTGCTGAGACACTCACTCCTGACTCAGATGCTTCCAGAAGGTTGAGGGGTAGCGTCCACAGAGCCCTGGACAGGGCCCAGCAGGGTAAGGTGGGACAGGACTGAGCCTAGACTCCGCTGTAGGCCCATTTAAAACATGCAGACAGGTACAGGCAGTTTCTGCACAAGTCTCAGCAGAAATAACCAAGGGTCCTCCCTGGACTGAGCTTAGCCCCGTTAGGACCAACCTGGGCCTCACTCTCCGACCCTGTGAACAGGAACCAGCCCCAAGTTTTCTCAACAGTGCAGGCTGAGGAATGCCAGTAGACTCCCCCAACTTACTCTGGAAGAGGGCGCTGCAGGAACCCCCCTTGGACTGGATGCTTCCGTATTAGTATTCCCATACAGCCTTGTAGTCTGAGACTGTAAGAGCATTAGCACAGACAAGCATCCAGTGCTGAAGGAAAGCAGGAAAGCTACCTACAATATGGGGGTGAAGCAGACGTTGTGCCCCAGGCTGTGGCTGCTGGGATCAGCCCTTCAGAAACACAGGAGAGCAGTTGCACCGGTGCCCAAGAGCGGCTCTGGAGGAAGCACCCAGCCTGGCCACACCCCAGCCCCGCCCCATGGGCAGTGGGTGCTTAGGTGAGACGGTGAGCACCTGGGGCCTGACAGTCTTCACATAGCACAGTGGTTCTCAACCTTGGCTGCACATTAGAATCACCTGAGAATCTTTAAAATCCTGATTTCTGGGCCTCATCATTAGTAACAAAGAAACAGAATTTCCGGAGGATGAGAAGAAGCTGTCCTCCACCCTCCTCCTGAGTGAGCTGACCCAGGAAGCAGCAGTTACGGAATCTGGAAGCTCACCCACCCCCACCCAGTAGCCACTAGAAGCCCACACACCTGTCCACTGGGTCTTCACAGCATTCTCCAGTGCAAGCAAGTAGCTCAGCAACTATGACACCACTTCATGGGCAGTGCGGTGGCCAGTGCCTCCCCCAGCCTGCCTGCTCTCAAAAGCTCCAGATTGACTATGAAGACCAGTGCCGACCATGAAACTTTCCAGGCTGGGGCACTGGTCCTTCAAGTCTGGCTCCCAGCATGGGGCGGGTGAGCTGAGTGTATTTTGTCACATAAGCAACAGGAGAGAGGGTTGGCCATGCAGACCCAGGGAACATTGCCATCTCCCTCCACCTCCACAGCCTGCACGCCCGGCCACAGGTGCACAGGGGCAGCCACCCGTCGAGGTGAGCACCACACACAGTACCAGCACCAGCCAGTGAAACACCTTGTACTATCCTGGGAGCTGAAGAGACCTTTCCCACTTTTTAACATCATTACGTGGGCAGAGGTGGGTTGGGCTATGAGGAAAATCTGGGAGCTTCCTCATGAGTGCCATCAGGCCGAGGGAGGGCTCTGCATTACTGCTGCCCAGCTGGACACCAGCCGGCTCATCCCGTATTTTAGGTTCCTGCTTTCCTATGTGTGGGCTAAATCTCTCAGGAGATTTCCCTCTCCTTGCTGCATCCTGCACCCAAGTCTGGGTCAAGCATGACCGAGGCAGAGCCTGACTCAGAAACTGTCACCAGCTCTGAAATCTGACACAGTGATAGCCTCAGATCTACCAATCCATCTCTGATCTGGCACGCTACCCAAATGGAGGGACTACAGGGTGGGGCACCGGGAAACCTCGCTGAGACAAATGGATAAAGGAGAAAATGGTTTTAAGTGATTCCAAAGTTTTTAAAACTCAAATTATGCCACTTCGTCAAACTGTGACAAATTAACCCAAACAAGTGGCCATAGTGCAGCTCAAAGAGGACTGACCTGAGACACATCCCCATCAAACCAGTTCCCGGCAGGGCTCACGCTGCCATGGCGTCAGGGTGTCAGCAGTCTTCTCTGAAAAACCTAATGAGCTGGGAAGGAAGACCCTTGTGCTGGGCTCCCCCTTCAAGCCTGGCAAAGGGTCAAGTCTGGAGCCGGCATCCCAGCTCCTGTCCCCAGGAAGGCGGCTCAATTGGGTCTCCCCTGAAAGGAGAGAGAGATTTGCAGGAGCTCCTGCCCAAGTTCTTGCTGCCTCCCACCAGGACAGAATTCGGCCGACAGCTCCCTGAAGGTGGCACACACACGGCGGGCCTCGACGTGTCTGCGGTGGATGGCATGCTTCCACTGGTGCCGTGCGGCTCCGGTGAGCACAAGCAGAGAGCGGCGGGGTAAGGGGACAGCCACCTCCACCTCCTGGCACAGGACGGACCTACTAGGGGCCATCACACCTTCCAGAGCTTCCGGGAAGCCGGATGGGGCCAGGCAGAGCAGTAGGCTGCCGGGCGCCTCCCGGGACATGGACAGCACGGTGGGGGACAGGAGGTTGAGGCTCACTAGCCGCTCCCCCCACAGCCAGGCGTCATCCAGGTGGGGATCGATGGCTGAGCCCCGTTCTGGGCAGTAGTCCAGGTTACACTGCTCCACGGGCCGGAAGCCCTCCAGGATGGGGTAGAGGCCCATTCTCCGCACTATCTCCCGGCTGAAGCTGGGGAGGCCTTGGAAGCCGGCAGTCTTGAGCTTTTGTTTCCGAAAGTTGACTTTGGGACCATAGTCCTAAAGTATGAGGACAAAAAGGAAGTAGAGAAATGTCTGAGTTTACAGAAATGTGATCACACACTAGGTCTAAAGAATTCAATCACAGTGACCAAGAAAAGAAAAATTTCTGACTTCACAGGTCTGACATTCCAGTAGGAAGAGGCTAACACAACAAAGATATACATAAACAGGAGACATCAGATGGCTGTAAATGCTAAGGGAAATAATAATGCAGGGAAGGGGTACGAAGTGTTGGGGACGTCTTAGCCCAGGTACCCGAGAAAGCAGAGCTAGAGACAAAAGGCCCCTGTGCGGGTAGTGCATCCAGGAGGTGATACCGAGAAGTTGAGATCTGGGACGAATGAGCAGCAAGGGAGGGAAGGCCCATCAAGGCAGCATTATCAAGGCGGGAGCCCCGGGGCTCAGAGCCACAAGGAAGAACAATTATCACGTAACATGGCAGGTCTACCTGGTATATACCAAAGATAAATGAAAACAGGTCCGCATAGAAATATGAATGTTCACAGCAGCACTATTCACAATGACCAAAAACTAGAAACAACCCAAGTGTTTACCAGCAGATGAATGGACAAACTAATGGGAATATATCCATACAATGGAATAGTTTAGTCATAAAAAGCAGTAAAGCACGGGTATACGCTGCAAAATGTTGAGCCCTGAAAACATTAAGCTAAGTGAAAGACACCAGACACTAAAGGTCACATATTGTGTAATCCCATTTACTGGTACATGAAATGTCCAGAATGGCCAAACCCCCAGAGACAGGAAAAGTAGATTAGTGGTCGCCAGGGGACGGGGAACAGGGAGGGACTGCTAACGAGTATGGGTTTCCTTCGGGGGATAAAAATGTTCCAGGGCTAGAAAGCGGTAATGGTTGCACTACTTTGCCATCGGGCTACACTAAAAACCAGTCCACTGAATTGTACATTTTAGTTTTTATTGATGTCAGAGAGGAAGGGAGAGAGAGATAGAAACATCAATGATGAGAGAGAATCATTGATCGGCTACCTCCTGCACACCCCCAACTGGGGACCGAGCCCACAACCCGGCCATATGCCCTTGACCAGAATCGAACTCAGGACCCTTCAGTCCACAGGCCAATGCTCTATCCACTGACCCAAACCAGCGAGAGCTGAACTGTACATTTTAAATGGGTGAATTTTATGATATGTGGCTTCTATTGAGGAAAAAAAAAAAAAGGAGGGACAGTCTAAAACACGCCTCAGATTTTTGCCTGAGGTATGAAAGAGGGAAGCATTTATTTGCCGACTCCTGCCCGCTCTGGTCCCCCTCCAGTGGAGGGTGGCTCCCTCTGGTGGAACTCCTCCTTCCAGGATGAGCATGTCTCAGAGTGCCTGGGTGAGCGGCTCCTGTAGGGCATCGCTAGGAGCAGCAGGCAGAGGGCCTGACATGGGAGTGCAGTGGACGGGCACGAGGAGCTGGCGCCTTTGAGGAAGCTGGAGTGACTGCTATGCCTGACACCAGAGAGCAGCAGTGAAAACAAAGGCTGGGCTGACCAACAGCGTGCAGAGCTTCCAGAGCACTGTAAGGACTTCGTGTTTAAGTTGGGAGGCCCAGAGGGTTTGTAACAAAGCAATGACAGGATCTGATGAGGTGTTACTGGAGTTACTTTCCTCTCTATTGAAAACTGACTGAAGAGGGGTCAGGGCTGCCCCAGGTACCCCTGAAGGAATCCTGGGAAGGGCGGGGGTGGGGGGGCTGGGGTGCATGTGTTGGCAGCGGTGGGGAGGGTGCTCTCAGGTTCAGATAGGTTTTGAAGGAAGAATGAACTGACAGGAATTAATGAGAGAGACCTGGAGAGATCCACGATTCCAGCCTGCACGGGAGGAAGGTGGAATGTGCCATGATGCGGACACTGCAGGGGGCCTGGGTAGGGGCAAACAGCCAAAGCTCAGTTTAGGGTCTGACAACTAGAAGCCTGGGCTGGAGATATGAACATGGGAGTCCAAAATACAGCGACAGTGTGTAGGGCCATGACTCACTAAGATCAGCAAGGGGATGTCTGGAGCAGGAAGAAAAGAGGCCCAAGGACTGAGCCCTGAGAACCCATTGCTGGGCTTAGAGCATGGAGGCGAGGGAGGAAGCAGTTTTTGAGTGGGGTAAGCGGGAATGGGAGGAGAGGAATCAAAAACATTGAGAATAAACAACTCTTGAGGAATTCTGTTGCAGAGAAATGGAGCTTCCTGGGAGCTGGGGGAAAAGATCCAGTTGAGGCAAAATTCATCTTGGGGAGAAAGGGGAACAATGCTGAACAAGATCTTCTGAGTAGAAGGGACCAGCACACAGCTGGAGGGGGCCTTGGAGAAGCCCTGGGCACAGGTGAGAAGAGAACAGTACCCACGCATGGCAGGCAGGTGTGCAGATATGTCTCTTTTCTAAGAGAGGCAAGGTCACCAATGGAAGGGAGGTAGGTATGACTGCAGGAGCAAGAAGGGCCCAGAGTGGGGAGACCTGACTGCAGGCTGCACATGGGTGTGAGGGAGAGGGAAGCTGGACTTGACCAGGGCTGTAGTTGAGCAGGACGAGTATGATGAAGCAAACACAAAAAGTCGAGGGGCACCCAAGGAAATAACTATAACTGGCTGTAGTACAGGGTAAGGAGAGATGACGGGAGGGGAAAAGTGAAAAGGTGGCCAGATGCCTGGCCAGTGTGATTTAGTGGTTGAGCATCGACCTATGAACCAGGAGGTCATGGTTCAATTCCTGGTCAGGGCACATGCCCAGGTTGTGGGCTTGATCCCAGTAGAGGGTGTGCAGAAGGCAGCCAATCGATTATTCTCTCAGCATTGATGTGTCTCTCTTCCTCTCCCTTCCTCCCTGAAATCAATAAAAATATACTGAAAAAAACCAAACAAGCAAACAGGTTGGCGGATGGGTGGTTCACAGGTTCTGGTGGGAGCAAGGACTGCTGGAGATGAGGAATGGAAGGAGTGACCCAACAGAGAGGAGTGGGACCGAGGAAGAGGGGCCGAGGTCCCGGACAGAGAAGGCCTGGGACCTGGAGGCCCGAAAACACATGAAACTGACGGGGAGAACCTAGAGAGAAGGAGGCACCTGGCACCCTTCCAGGAACCCTCCCTGACAGTCACCAGCACGAGGCCAGCTGGGCGAAAGCTGAAAGAGCTGGGGGTCCGTCTTCCTTAGAGTCCTGGCTCACGGCATTCTCCTGGGACGGTGGGCAGGCCAAGTAAACTGGGCATATCCCTGGTATGGCTTAAGCGGAGGGCACTGAGCAGGAGGTGAGCCAAAGGGCCCAGCAAAGTCCCTGTCCTCTCTGACAGGCCCGACCCGCCTCCCTAGCTCTGGGCCAACCTACCTGCTTCCTGCGTCCAGACTGTGAGCGTTTCCAAGGCTCACGGTCCATCAGCTGCACCATCTCAGCTTCCTCCTCGCGGGTCACGAAGTCCTCTATCAGTGTCACGCCAGGGAAGGGGAAGGCCCAGCCTTCAAAGTCGGACTCCTCAGCCCCCACAGCCCAGCCAGTGTCCGAGTAGTAAATGAAACGATGTGTTTTCTATAAAAGAAAGACAGGGGTCTTGGAGCCACTGGAGCGTGCCCTCCCGGAGGGCCTCTTGGGAGCTGCCCCTGCCCAATGGTTCCTCCTCCCCTGAAGCCACTTTGGAAGGCAGCTAAAGCCTAGAGGGGGGACAGACCCCTGCTCGGGCTGCCTCCTGGGAAAGACCCTCACTTTCCTCATCCATAAAAGGAAAGAGCATCTGCATAACCATTTTTTTGTTGTTGTTCTCCATTTTATAGATGAGGTGACCAAGGTTCAGCAATTAAGGAACTAGCCAGAGGCTGGGGATCAGCCTGAGTCCAGTTTCTGGGTCTCTGTAGGGTATCTTCTGTCCTCGGCCTTGTGAGAATGAAAGGAGAAGATGGTGTGAAAAGATCCAGCCCAGACCAGAAGTTTGAGAAATATGCTATCCCTAAAGCTGGGGTCCTGGGGCCGTCCCGGGGTGAGCAGCACATGCTGGAAGGCCAGAGGGGAGAAGCCCTCTACAGTCCAGGTGGGGGTGTCTTTGGGCTCTGCCCTCTTTTGTGGCAGCCAGAGGCACTGCCTGAATTTCCCTTCAAAAAAGAACAGAACTTGCCAGCCATCGAGAGGACAGCTGGGCTGACAATCTCCTGCTGTAGTGCCTCCGGGACCTGCCTCGGTTTTTGAGCGGAGGCCATCTTCATCCCAGGCAGCTTCCAGCCAGCGACCCAGCATGGACCTGGCCATTTCTGCCCACATGGGCTTCCTCTAATGGGCAGTCTTTGCTCTGGAGCTCCCGACTGGATTGACCATGATTTTATCAGATCTACATGTCAGTCTGAGGTCCTCCCTAACCAATCAATTCTGCTTCCTCCCCCTTTATGTTCCCTAGGCATTGCTACCACCCCATCTTGAACTACCATGTCCTCTGTCTCTGGCGCCTCATATGGGACATGTTAAAAGTGGGAGTCATCCTAGACATCTTGCTCATCCCCCAGTCATCATGTTGGGAAGATGCTACCCCCAGAGTGTCAGTCCCAGACACAGTTCAGACCTTTGGTGCTTTCTAAAAAAAGTTTTGTGGTAATCTATATAATAAAAGCCTAAGCAACCATTACGGTGGAACGACCAGAAAGACCAGTGGCTATGATGCGCACTGGCCACCAGGGGACAGATGCTCACTGCAGGAGCTACCCCCTGGTGGTCAGTGCACTCCCACAGGGGGAGCGCCATTCAGCCAGAAGCCAGGCTCACGGCTGGCAAGTGCAGTGTGGTGGCGGCGGGAGCCTCTCCCACCTATGCAGCAGTGCTAAGGAGCAGCAAGCTGAGCAGTAAGGAGCAGCGGCAGGTGGGCGGTAAGGGGCAAGAGGTCCTGGACTGCAAAAGGGATGTCCACCGAGGGGTCCTGGACTATGAGAGACCCCCCTTCCTCCAGTGCACGAATTTCGTGCACCGGGCCTCTAGTATATAAATAACATAAAATTTACCATCTTTAATAATTTTTTCAGTGTACAGTTCAGTGTGTTAAGTACATTACTCTGTTGGGCAATCAATCTCCAGAACTTTGCCCCCTTGCAAAACTAAAATCACATACCCATTAAACAACTCCCCTTTGTCCTTTCTCCAGCCCTTGGCTACCACCATTTTACTTTCTGTCTCTATGATTTTGACTACTCTAACTAATATAAGTGGAATCATACAGCATTTGTCCTTTTGTGACTGGCTTATTTCACTTAGCATAATGTTTTCTAGGTTCATCCATGTTGTAACATATATCAGACTTTCCTTCCTTTTTAAAGCTGAATAACATTCTATTGTATGTATTACTTTTTGTTTATTTGTTTATCCATTTATCCATCAATGACACAGGTTGCTTCCACCACGGGCAAGCAAATATTTCTTCGATACCCTGCTTTCAACTCTTGTGAGTATATCCCCAGAATTGTTGGGTCACATGGTAATTCAACTTTTAATTTTCTGAGAAACCTTCATACTGTTTTCTACAGGATCTTCCACACTTTTACCAGGGACACTGCAGTTTCTTCACTGGCTTCCCAGCCTCAATACCTTCCTATTAGGTCCCAGTGAGAGAAATTAGCTTGAAACGCAGGCAGACAGGGCAGGGATCCAATGGAAAACAAAGGCAGGGGAACATAGGCAGGGGCAGGCACGGCAGTTTGAGCAAGTCTAACCACAGAAACAAACGGTGCTGAAATAATATCGAACGTTTCTGGACACAGAGCGGGAGCGTGGGAAACCAAGGGAGGGCCTGCAGCAACAAGGTGTGTTAACCGTAGAAACAGGGAAAGTTCAGGTCCGTTGCTGGACAAGAACAACGAGGGAATCAATCAGGTGAGGACATGGGTAGTGACAGAGCAGGCCTGTAACAAATATATACCCCTGGACTACAACGCTTTGGGGGCAGCTCATTATTATCACCCCTTCCCCCCCCCCCCCCCCCCCCCCGAATCTGCTTGTAATAAATTTTCCACACTTTTGCTTAAATCTTCTGGTTCTCGTAGCTCATCCTTCTGTGTAGGGAGACACGACCCCAGAAAAAACCTCAGCTCACCGTTCTGGTTATCACCAGGATTGTTCTAAAATTCACATGTAATTTCCTTTAAAGCCCTTCGGGGGCTCTCCAAGGCCCCTAGGACTGAAAAATGGACCTTGAAAGAACTGACTCGGTTCCGTCCCCTTGTCCTCTATATGAACCATAGGCATTCCATTTTATTCCCATAAATGTTGTAAGAACTGCCTTTCAGGGTTTCCCTATGAAGTGCAGATGGTCCACTGACCTGTTAATTCCAGGATATAACTAAACCAGATAAGTAACTATGCTATTTCTAGCTTCTGTAAATATGCTTGCTTGAATCATGGGAAAATAAGGGGGGAGGCGCAAGGGGGGTGGAAATCTGAGCCTGTGACGGAAACCTGGTGTACATCCTTATCGGTCTACGGTCTGGTCACGGCTCCCTCTTAAATCGTCTATCTTGCAGGACCTGTTTGCTAGAGCACTGTTCCCGCACTGGAAAGGCCATGGACTATATATAATACCCCCAGACGCAGCTGTCAGCGCCGGCGCCAGGCCAGGCCTTGACATAGGGTCTCACGGCACCAATCCCAGAGGTTTTTTCTTTCTCTTTTTGCCCTTATAAGCGTACCCTTAACTTCATTTCGGGACCGCGAGGTTTGGAGTGGCGATAGCCCTTCGCGGTCGCCGTCAGCTTTTGAAATAAAGGCTCCAAAATTCGACCCTCTGGCTGTGGCGTCTTCTGTTGGGCTTGCTGAATTTCAATAGAACAGGACAAGTCCAACCTGCCCAGTGGCCACACACGGCCCTGCGTGGTCAGGCCCCACCGACCTCATCTTCTCACCTGAAGCATCACCATCTCCAAGCACACGCCTCTAACCCAGGCGGAACGCCCTACCAACCAAAATACTTCCAGGCCCAGTTCAAAAGCTGAGTCGTTTTTCGTTCATTAGCTGGGATTAATTTCCTCCTTGCTCATTTCCATCCAAGGCCTTATGGGCACTTTTGCCCTGGTTTTCGGCACCCTCTACTCTTTCCATATCGTCCCCCCGCGGGCCCGTGAAACTCCGAGGCCCCGACGAGAGGGGAGGGTGGGTGGGGTGGGGTGGGGTGGGGGTTACTGCGTGGAGGTTTGCTGTCAGACTCCCGCCAGGTCCCAGAGGTGAGCTGTGGTCGGACTGCACCCGCGTCCCAATCCCCTCCCCACTCCGCAAAGCCTGCAGCTCCTCACCCCGCAACATCCCCGGCGAGGACCTCTAACATGTTCTGATCCCGGACGGTCAGTCGGGGCCTCAGTGTCCCCATAAGGAGAATAAAGTGAAGCTGTAGGCGCCTCCTCTCCCAGCCTTTACCTGTGGGGAGTGCTGCCAGGGCGGGTCACCTCCCCGCTGCCGCTCGCAGATCAGACAGGTCCGGATGCCCTTACAGCCGCATTCCCGAAGTACTTCGGGGGCCGCCACCACCGCAGCCGCCATCGCTGCGTCCCGGAGGCCAGTGCGCAGGCGCGGGGTTGCGGGGACCGCTGGGACTTGTAGTCCAGACGCGGGGCACGAGGCCCGCGGAGCCGCTTCCTTCCGGTCATCTCCGGTGGGCACTCGCGCGGCGCCACCTCCTGGGCTCCGCCAGCTGCGGGCGCCAGCAGCCGACTCCGGAGTCGCGGGCTCCGCCGAACGCAGACGCCGCCGAGACTGCCAGCGCCGGCCGCGCCTGCTCGCCATGGGCCCCCTCTCCCCGCGGCTGCTGATGAAGCGGGGGCGACCCAAGAGCGACCGACTGGGGAGGATCCGGAGCCTGGAGTAAGAGGCGGGCTGGGGACGACGGGGGGCTCGGAAGCGAGGCCCGGACCCTTCCCGGGCCCGTTATCACCATGTCGGTTGGGCGGAGTCTAATCACTCGGGCCAGATGCCGTCCTCTCGGCAGGAGAAGGGCCGGTGGGCCCGGGCTGCTAAGAACAGTGGTGCCGAAAGAGAATTGAGAACCTCTTGAGGGAATTACAGAGGGGCTGGGGAACAGAGAGGAGGCCCCCACAGAGGCTCAGGAGAAGCATCCTGGAGGGGGCCGGCTGCCCCGAGTTTTAAAGTAGTTACAAGGTTTTTAAAAAATAGGTGGCTGTTGTTGCCCTAGCCGGTTTGGCCCAGTGGATAGAGCATCGGCCTACGAACTGAAAGGTCCCAGGTTCGATTCTGGTCAAGGGCACATGCCCAGGTATCGGGCTCCATCCCCAGTAGGGGGCTTGCAGGAGGCAGCCGATCCATGATTCTCTCTCATCATGGATGTTTCTATCTCTCTCTCCCTCTTCCTTCCTCTCTGAGATCAATAAAAATATATTTTTAAAAAATAGGTTGTTGGAGAGAGGCTGTGCGTGCACAACAAATGCCAGGAGACCAAGCCTCAGAGGCACCCTAGGCTGCTGTAGGTGCGGGGCTGGAGGCCTGCCTGCCCTGAGCACACTCTGTCTGCCCCCCACCCCAGCCTGTCAGGACTGAAGCTGCTCTCAGAGCACTTGGACCCCAAGCTCCTGAGCCGTCTGAAGCAGCTGCAGGAGCTGGACCTCTCCAACAACCAGCTGGAGATGCTGCCGGACAACCTGGGCCTGTCCCGCCTGCGCGTCCTCCGCTGCTGCAACAACCAGCTGGGGGATGTCACTGCCTTGTGCCAGTTCCCGCAGCTTGAGGAGCTCAGCCTGGAGGGCAACCCCTTCCTGACAGTAAGTGGGTTCGCCCGGAGGCCCCGTGCCCGGGGCCAGCACTCTGTTGGGCTTGGGCTCAGCAGCCCTCAAGCCATTCTTCCCTCATTCCCCAGGTCAGCGACAACCTGAAAGTCTCCTTTCTCCTGCCCAAGCTGCGTAAGGTCAATGGCAAAGATGCTTCCTCCACTTGCTCTCAGGTGGAGAACCTGAACCGGGAGCTGACCAGCAGAGTAAGGGGCCTGACAGGTGTCTCCGGGGCTCGGGAACAGTGGGCGGCCTTGAGGATCGAGCGGCAGGCTTGGACATTTGTAGGACACTGAGGGAGGTTACAGGGGCTCTTGTCCCTGACCTTAGTCCCCAGTGGCCCTTTGTCCCTAGCCTGACATGCTCTGGACCTGCTTGTGGTGCTTGGCCTCTCGTCCTTGGGTGGTGTCTTGCCCTCCAGGTGGCATTTTCACAGTAACTTTCCTCTGGACAGACCACTTTCTCCCTCTGGGGCTGTGTGTGTGGCTTGGATTTGTGTAACATGCAGCTAAGAAGGCTGTGGTTTGGGGAGACTTCCAGGAGGCAGTGAGGTTGAAATACCCGTGGCCCTGAGATTGGGAGTAGAGGGGCCATGGAGGGTCCAGGGATGAACTGGGTCTGGATCTGGTCCCTCCTGTACTAGGTCACAGCTCACTGGGAGAAGTTCATGGCCTCACTGAGCCCTGAGGAGGAGACTGAGAAGGCCAAGGCGGACTTCGTGAGGTCTGCTGTCAGGGATGTGCACTACGGGCCCGAGTCCCTCAGCGAGTTCACCCGGTGGCGGGTATGTCCTCACCCCGCTGTACAGAGCCTGTTCTCCCAGCTCCTTGCTGGCTCCCATGTCCTGAGCTGCCCTGGAGGTCTCTGACCATGAGGCGCTGTGGGCAGCGGGGCGGGTCAGGAAAGGCACCATATCGGCCAGCAAGGCCCTTTCCCAACTCAGGAGGCACAAGCTCCCCCTGACTGGGTGTCTGAGGGGCTGTGCCCAGCTTCCTGACGCCCTGGCTCCACCAGGTGCAGATGATCTCTGAGGAGCTGGTGGCCTGTGGTGGGACCCAGGTCCATGAGGCAGACATCCCAGAGAAGTCCCCAAAAGTCACAGCTGTCCAGGAGCCCAAGGTGAGTATGGTTCTTTGTGGCTCCCTGGGCTATGAGGGCCTGCCTTGGCCCTTCCTCCCTAGGGAGGCTACAGGGAAGCAGGGGGTTCTGGAAATGAGCCCCAGAACTGGCATTAGCCACCAATGCCCCAGCTAATTCCCTCTGACCCTGGGCCAGTCCTTACCTCCTACACCCGTGGAGGGTGCGGCCCAACCTGTGATAGGAAGGAAAGAAGACCTGGGTAGGTGGTCACCAGGCTCTCAGCCACCCCTTCCCCCCACAGGCCAGGCCAGTGGCCTGCAAACGGCCAGATGATGTCCCACTCAACCTTTCTCCCAACAAGCGGGTGTGCACCTCCCCATTGGCCCAGGTGAAGGGCCGCCCCACGGGCTCTGATGGCAGCCAGGTAAGTTATAGCAAGGTGGCAGGGAGTGTGTGGCTGGGAGCAAGGTTTGGGGCAGCTATAACTCCCTTCTGCCCCCACAGCCTACCCTGCAGCTGGAGCCCCTGTACTTCCTGCAGTGCCACAGCAAGAACAACAGCCCCAAGGACCTGAGCACCCAGCTCTGGGCCTGCGCCTTCGAGCCAGCCTGGGAGGAAGGTACATCCTTGGTGGGCAGGCAGGGCAAGGGCCACAGGGTACAAACAAAACAGGCTTTCTGGGTGGGGGTGTGAGAGTGCCACCTGGAGTGGGGCTGCCTGGGCCATGGGGGAATTAGGAGAGACAGCGCTTAAAAAATGTCAAGGCCAGGAGGAGGGAGCTGCAGGGGATAACTTTACAGAAGATGTTTTTACTAGGCTGACCCCTCAAAACAGGGCATCCAGGGGCCACATCCCAGTCTGTGGCCACGTGTGGTGGAGAAGCTGTTTGTGTGATAGACTGCCAGACGGGCATCGTTCTACACAAGTACAAGGCACCTGGCGAGGTGAGTGCCAGGGCCCTGCTCCTGCAGGGCAGCGAGCAGAGCCCTGGGAGCAGAAGTGCCACCTATTCATCAGGTGACTTTTTCTTTGATGCTGGGCCTGTTTCCCAGATTTGATCCTGCATGCATGTGCACACATGTAGCTCTGCCCCTTGGTGACTGCTCCACTCCCCCACCCCCCAGGAGTTCTTCTCCGTGGCCTGGACAGCCCTGACGGTGGTCACACAGTCAGGCCACAAGAAGCGCTGGAACGTGCTGGCGGCTGCAGGCCTACGGGGCCAGGTCCGGCTGCTGCATGTGCGCGCTGGCTTCTGCTGTGGCGTCATCCGGGCCCATAAGAAGGCCATCGCCACCCTCTGCTTCAGCCCCACCCACGAGACCCACCTCTTCAGTAAGACCTTCTCCCCATACCTCCAGGGCTCCCCCAGCACCCTCCCTGGATTGGTAGGGGACTCCTGTGGCTGGCAGTCTCATTCCAGGCTGCCAGTGTTGGCTCCAATCATGGTAGAAGCAATGTGGCTTTGTGGACAACTGACTGGGCTTCAGATCCTGGTTTTTCCCCCAACCTGTGCTGTGGCCTTGAAGCTTTCTGACAACCTGGGCTACTCTGTGTCCTGGGGGATACTCCTGGGCTCAGTTGTGGTGAGCCCAATGAGGGTGATGTGTGAGCAGAGGCCTACAAAAGATAGCCGCCTGGTGTGGCCCACATTAGGTTAGAGTAAGACAGGGCTTGTAGACCGTGGCCCGCCCTCCCTGCTTCAGAGGGGCAGGCCTTGGAACCACACCCTCAGCCTTGGATGCAGCCTGCAGGAGGAAGCTGGGCCCCTCAGAGCCACCTCTCCCCATCCCCTCCTCAGCGGCCTCCTATGACAAGCGGATCATCCTCTGGGACATTGGGGTTCCCAATGAAGATTACACATTCCAGGCCAGGTGATGATTTGGGCAAAGCTGGTGTGAGGAGGGCTGGCGGCCAGGCTGGTAGACAGTGGCCTCACGCTCTCCCTCTCACCCACTGGCAGCCAGCTGCTCACACTTGATACCACCTCCACCCCCCTGCGCCTCTGCCCTGTTGCCTCCTGCCCAGATGCCTATCTGCTGGCTGGCTGTGAGGGTGGCTGCTGCTGCTGGGACGTGCGACTGGACCAGCCTCAAAAGAGAAGGTGAGCTGGGTGGGAATGCCTTGAAAGTCAGGCCTCAGAGCTGGGGCAGCTGCCAGTCCAGATGTCTGGCCCCAGGCACATCTGCCAGAGGTGATACCCAAACCATGCATGCTGCCCTGGGCAGCCACAGAGACTATCTTCACAGAGCTGGCCTGCCCCCACCTTCTGCTGGCTTTCCGTGAGTAGCTGCTTCACTTCAGTAAAGGTCCTTGTGACTCGTTCCTTCCCTGGTGTTTGACAGTGGGACTTGGGTTGGGTTGGTTCCCTTTCTGAGCTGGGATCACTTCACCTGCAACCTGAGGCTTCACTCCCACCCATGTCCTGCCACTTACCAGCAATGTGACCTTCCTGCCCTAGCTTAATCTGCTCGTCTGTAAAGTTGGGACAGTAACGTGCATCCTAGGGCTAATGGGGGACAAGGGAGATGGTGTCTGGGCAAGGATGAGGCCCTAGAAGGGCCAGGTTGAGGCTTGTGGCTCACCCGTGCCAACTGGAAGGCCCAAGACAGTGCTCAGCATGGAGTCCCAGCCCTCTTGGGGCCCATAAGCCTAGTAGGAGATGCGTTAAACAAAGGTGGCCAATTAAAATCCTACAAAGTATGATGTCATCTATGAAGGAAAAAGAATCCGGGGCTTTGAGGGGAATAGGAAGGCTAGGGGGACTCTGAAGAGGTGACCAGTGGCAGATGGATAAGTTTTCAGACTCATCCTCTCCACATGAGCCCTAAGACTCAGGTAGAAAGAGGGAAGGTGCATACACAGGAGGAACAACATGTACAAAGGGCCAGTTGTAGGGAGAGCTGGCTCATCAGGGAGGCCTGGTCACAGCTTGGAAAACCAGAGGAAATGGTGCAAGTTAAAGTGGCAAGGTTGCTTGGGCCAGGGTACACTGGGTTTGTTGGCCATGGTAAGATTTTGAGTTTTACTTTAAGTGCAATGAATAACCTGGGAAGAATTTTAGGATTAGGTGGCAGGAGTGAAGTAGCTACTGCACGGAGGGAAGTAGTGGAAGCTTCGCTACACGGTGGCAGTTGTTCAGCCAATGTGGGTGGTGGCCCTGTGCCACATCTGGCAGTCAAGCCCTGGGCCTGCCTCCCTCCTCCCCTGCCCATTCACATCTGCCTAGTCCCCAAGTGCTGTGGCATTTCTTTCTCACATCTTAGATAAATCTCTTCCTCCTCATAGTCAGTACTTGGCTGCCTTTCTTGCTTCCAGGTGTCCTCTCCAGGACTCTGTGCATCTGCTGGGTGGCCTTTCCAAGCAGTGTGACCCTACACACACTCGCAGCTTAGAAACATTCAGCCACTCCCCATCCTCTGGGTCACAGCAAACCCCTCCCACCTCTCCCTTCTCAGGCCCCCAGCGCTCAGCTGGAAATGCTTTCCTCCTGCTCATCTCTGTCCCAGAGGCACTGCCTCTCTCCAGAACCCTCCCTGGCCATACCACCCCCCATCCTGGAAGAACCAGGCCCTCATGCCACCTATGACTCAGTATACTCACTTCCAGGGTGAAGCTTAACCCCTCCAGGGCTCAGAACAGTCTTGGTTGCATCTTCTGACCTCCACACTGGGCAGGGTCAAGTAGGGGCCCAGTGAATGGTTCTCACTGAATGAATGAGAAATTGTACATGCAAGAATAGTTACCAGCATCTCTATGGTCCCACAGGGTGTGTGAAGTGAAGTTCATCTTCTCTGAGGGCTCCCAGGCACCTGGCCAGAGAGTGGACGGGCTGGCGTTTGTGAATGAGGATGTCGTGGGTGAGAGCCCTGCTCGGGAATCTGGCCTCCTGGGACCCAGATAGGCCCTGATAAGGCCTGCATGGGTTGCTTCTCCCTGGGTTGAGGTTTAGGTCTGAGAACTTCTGAGGGGTCCCCACTGTGGAACAAGAAATGCCTGGAGAGGGCCCCCTAGACAGAGTTCTCCATTATTCCTCACAGCCTCCAAGGGGAATGGTGGCCTGGGCACCATCTGGCTGTGGAGCTGGAGCCAGACCTGGGTGAGCCGGGGCAGCCAGTCCACAGTGGCGGTGGTGGTCCTGGCTCGTCTGCAGTGGTCACTAACTGAGTTGGCCTACTTCTCACTCAGCACCTGTCCTGGTGAGCCCACCCACACACTCCATCCTGCTTTCTACCCCATGGAGCTCTGCCCCACCTTAGTTCCAATTTCTGTGTCCTGGCAGACAAGGGCATTGTGCTCTGTGGGGATGAGGAGGGCAACGTGTGGATCTACGATGTCAGGCACATCCTGATGCAGCAGCCTCCACTGCCGGCAGCCCCGCAGGCCCCCACACAGGTATGCAGCTTGTCCTCTCCCTCCCTGCTGGGACGGTGCAGCATGAGCGGGCTGGCATCTAGGAAGGAACCCAGCCCCTCTCTCTCTTCCTACCAGATCCTTAAGTGGCCCCAGCCCCGGGCCCTCAGCCAGACAGTGACCAGGACCATGGTGAACACGGTGGTGGCCAATTCCACCTTCACCTACCTCACCGCTCTGACAGACTCCAACATTGTGGCCATCTGGGGGGGAGACTAGCTTCCAGCAGGAGCTCCTGCCTCTACTGCAAAGTACCAGGGATGCAACTTAACTTATTCGACTTGTTGGGCTGAATGGGATGGGGATCTTTCTATGAATATTTTTATTAAACTCTCTCCTGTATAAGAGAAGCCTGGGAGAGCTATTTGTGGGCCCCGTCTGGTGTTGCTACTTTGAGTAAGGCAGGTTCACCTGGCAGCTGGGGCTTTTACAGTAGGGACTTACGGAAGCGCATGGATTTGAGCAATTTCCTTCTTCTCAAGACTGCCTTCCCTACAGCACCCCAGGTCCCCAGGCGGTTCAGAATGCATTTGTTCCTGCCACCCTCTCAGACAGAAATATGGATCTCTGGGCCAATCCACTCTGCAGTGTGGCCCCAGAGTAGCCTTGAGACAGGTCATCTACCTTCACTGAGCCTGACAATCTATTTGCTGTTAAGTCACCTCTGCTTCAGCTCACACCGGGTCTTTTCCTACCACACTTTGTTAGGAAGAAGAAACTTTATTAGGAAGAATCTATGTACAGGACAGATCAGTGTCAGGGGTGAGGGGGGTCTCTGGGATATTTCCAAGGAGGCCACAGTTGGGAGAAGCTGCTCTCTTCCACTTGGTGCCTGGAAAAGGGCCTGGTGCAGGGTAGGAACTGGCCACTATTCAATTCCTTCTTGCTTGTCTTTGATGGCCACCTGAGGGAAAGGAAAGGCAGTGCACTTAGCTGGAATGGCTGGGTCAGGGTGTTGGAAACTCAGCCCTAGCATCCCTAACCAAGGTCTGCCGGAAACTGCTTCCTTGGCTCCAGAGTGCAGCACGAACTGAAAAGAAGCAGTAAACCAGGCCCTGAACAGCTCCAGGGAGCTGGGCAGCCACTAACCCTAGGGACTCTCTGAGCCTGCCCCACCAGCCCCATCACTTCTCTGCAGCACACAGCCTGCTGCCTAGGATGGGAGTCAGGTGGAGCTGAGATGCTTTCTGGTATGTGATAAGCTGAAGTCTGACAGACTGGATCTTTCCCTAAATTGTCTAGACTTTGAGATTCCCTGCCTGAACAGTTGTGACCCCATCTTAGTATGAGCTGCCCTCTAGACAGACAAATACCCTGGACACAGCTAGGCCTTACCAACCACAGAGCAGCCAGCACCAGAGAACAGACTGGGAGGAGCAGCACTAAGGGACAGGAGGCCCCTTGCTTCCATAGAGACCAGAATGCAGACAGCAGGCCCCAGGCAGGCCTTAACTCCATAACCTTACCCACACTTCCTGGAGGCCATGGTGGAAATCCCTGCTCTGTCATCACCTCCGCCCCTTCCCCCCAAATAAAAGGAACCAACTCAGGGGTCAATCCTAGGTGTGGGCATGAGAACCTACATTTCTGGTACATACAGGATGGCGTCCAGACCAACCCACCCCACTCCTGAACGGCTGGTCCTCACCCGGAATCGCTCTTCCAGCAGGGAGAGTTCGCTAATGAGGTCTGTGATGGCATTGGTGAAGGCCTCCTGGGGGCTGTAGTCTGGTGTGGTCTGCACACGGATGATGATCTTGTGCTCCAAGGGGTGGGGAACTTTGTAGCCAGCAAACAGCACCTGTGGGTCCTTCAACAGCTGTCTGAGAAACAGGGATGAACAGTGAGGAGGCTGAGCCTAGTGTCCTTGGAACTCTGGCCCCTTGTAGCTTACCAGGCTTCTAGACAAGGGGTCGTCTTGGGCTGAGGCCTGTAGGCAAATGCAGCTGGCAGCTGACACCAGGTGGTTCCGTGCCCTTGACTTTGTTGTGTGTTTATTCCCACCCAAAACAAGTAAAACAGATACTTTGGAGAAGATATACCATATGGGAACTCCTCCCACACACACCCTCCCCCCATATCCATGAGGATCAAGAAACTTAGCTGGTAAACAGGGTTTCCAATAACCTTTTCCCTTAGGGGAAGTCAGACCCTGTAATGTGCCCAAAGAGACTTCCTCAGGCAGTAAATTCCAGCCAATGTCCCATTCCCAGCTCAAAAAGCATTTGACAGCAAATAAAGGTGCAGGGGGAGAAGGCCCCAGACTCTGAGCAGTTTGGGAAATGGATGTCCTTTAGGCAACATAGGTTGGCAGCTGCCGTTCACCCTCACCCCCCTGGAGTTCTGTGAGGTGAAGTGAAGCGGTGTTTTTTGCTGGGTACACAGGGTTTTCTCCAGAGCAGCTCAGCCAAGTGTGAGCACCCGAGGGCAGTGATGGCGAACCTTTTGAGCTCGGCGTGTCAGCATTTTGAAAAACCCTAACTTAACTCTGGTGCCGTGTCACATATAGAAATTTTTTGGTATTTGCAACCATAGTAAAACAAAGATTTATATTTTTGATATTTGTTTTACATATTTAAATGCCATTTAACAAAGAAAAATCAACCAAAAAAATGAGTTTGCGTGTCATAGGTTCGCCATCACTGCCCTAGGGGAAGAGCCCTTGCATAGGTGAGGACAACTCATACAGCAGAGGAGCAGCAGGGCCCCAAAGGAGCCTGGGTGCACCACTGGCTTGGTTCAGGGTGGGAGTCATCCAAAAGATGAGCAATGCCACCCTCTACTTACTAGTGCACCCGGAGACCCGGCAGGCTTCAGCCCCGTCTCACACACACACCTGGGGAGGCCTCCTGCACTGATGGTACTTTCCAGTGAAATGGCAAGTCTCTGGGCCAGAACATCGATCACATTGTTAACCACCTACCTGGCCAGGACTTCATGGTGTAAACAAACACCCATCAGCCAATATCAGATGCCCACCAGGGGCACCGCATAACCACTGATCCTCTCTCTTACCTCTGTCCTTACTTTACTCAGTTACAATCTTAGGATGCCAGGTGTCCCTGAGGTCATTATCACAAATGGGCAGGGTGGATGGGAGCTAACCTTGACTACTTGTCAGTGCTCATTAGCACAAAACCACAAGTAGGACTACTTTTCTGTGGCTTCCTGCGTATTCACTTACTTTAGTCAGATAAATGAGCCAATGCAGAAATGTGTGGACAGGTACTGGTCAGTGCCATTTTGAAGAAAAGGCACTGGAATGAGTAAACTAGCAGAGCAAGCAACCAGGACCCCGTGAAGCTCAGAGACGAGAAATTCTTTTGGCTCTGGCAGGTGGCGCAGTGGTTAGAGCGTTGGCCCACACACTGAAGGATCGCGGGTTGGATTCCCAGTCAAGGGCACATACCTGGGTTGCAGGTTCCATCCTCAGCCAGGTCCGGGCATGTGTGGAAGGCAACCAATCAATGTGTCTGTCTCCCTCTCTCTTACTCCCTCCCCCCACCCCTTCCATTCTATTTAAAATCAATGAAAAAATGTCCTCAGGTGAGGATTAACCAAAAAAAAAAAAGCAAAGAAAATCTTCTGGAACTCTTTGCCTCGAAGAACACCATTAAACATAGCCCCGGGGAAGAGAGCCCCTGACTTGGAACTTACGATTTAATAATGTTTCCTAGTGTGTGGTCTTCTTTGTTGATGGTGAACAAACAGGCATTGGGTACTTTGGTGTCCTTGTTAATGGTGATCCTAGGAAGAGACAGGCAGAGATGGGGGCGGAGCCCCTCCTCCCTGAGTCTAAGCCCCACCTACTCCTAGAAGCCTTTCTCCATCTCTTGGTCCTATAACGACCTGTCTGGCTCAATGTGTCTCTACTCTGACCCAAGTTATGCCCTGATTCTGGAGGACCCTCGCCTGCTTCGGATCGCTCCTTTTTCCTAAAGCAGAATGTCTTCACCGTGGCACCACTGACATTTTAGCCAGATAATTCTTTTTGGCAGGGGGCTGGCTGCACATTTTAGGATATTGGTAGTATTCCTGGCCTCTACCCACTCGATGCCAGTAGCACCCCTTTATGACAACCAACAATGTTTGCAGACATTGCCAAAAGGCCCCTGGGGGGGCAAAATGGTCCCCAGATGAGAACCTGGTCTGAAGGAAGAATGACGTGGCTGGCAAGCGCTAGACCCTAAAGACCTGCATACCAGCCTGGCCTAAGCACTTCACATAAATTACTTCATTTACTCTCCCCCTAGATTTACTTACCGGGATTTAATACAGTAAGAAGCCCATTTTCCAGAAGAGGAAAGCAGGCCTCGGGCAGATTAGTTACTTGCGTCACTTGCCCAAAGACACAGTCCTTAAGTGGGGGGCGCCGGAGCCAAGCCCACGCTCTGACCACTAGACTACGTTTCCCTTCGCCCCGCAAGCAACGAGGAGCCTGAGGTTTCACACGGGCGGGTGGAGGTCGGATATGCGTCTAAGAACCAGCACTGGTTGCAGCAAGGAGGATAACGGTGGCGGCCAGGACACGAGGGAGAAGGCTGCAGAGCGGGCGCTCTGGGCTCCCCGCAGACCCAGCACTCCCCGGGCGCCCGGGAGCTACTTGCCGCCGAGCCCCCCGCGCTCGTCTGCAGCGGGGAGGCGCCCCGCCTCGCAGGGCGACCTTAAGTCGGGCAGACACAGGTGCGAAATGCTTGGCGAGCGGACGCTCCAGCAAAGCTGCTTCCCAACACCCCCGCCCCATCTCTCCCCCTGCTCCCCGGTTGGAGGTTACTGCAGGGGAGCCCCAGAATCTGCAGGCGCTGGCCACAGGCAGCTGAGGGCCCGAGCCCTCGTCCCGACGCCCCGCTGGCCCCTTCTTCCTCCCCACACCCCCACTTACTTCTTCTCGCCTTCGAACAACAAGAACGACTCGAAGGCAGGAGGGGCGTTCATCCTAGCGCCGCAGCCACCTCCAAAGACTCTGCGGCCCCACCACAGCCACCAGGGCACTTGAACGCAACCACTTCCGGGTTAGCGGCTGCTCCCTCTTCCGGCGCTGGCCGACGGTGCCAAGCCGGCGTGAAGACTGGCTCATCGCCCCCTATCGGAGTGGAGGACCTTGCGCAGGCGCTAGAGCCCAAGAGGGGGCGGAGGGAGGCTGGTGGCTCTGCGCCCGCGGGGGTTCGCTTCGTCGCACGTTCGGAGAGCGGGGAGCTACTCTGCGTACTGCGATGTCCTTGTCTAGGCTAAGAGGCAACCCTGACCTGACCTCTCTTTGCTCCCCACACCCCTTGATCCATCTTTGGAAATGTGCCCTTGGAGTACACAGCAAGAGGTCCCTGGATGAATGGAGCTCTGGGTTATGGGTGGGTGTGGCCGGAGGGGGCGCAGTAGCCTCAGGGGCTCGTGAGCGTCCATCCCTTGAACCTGAGGCTGTTTATGGGTAAGCCCCCTGCCAAAGCTGCCTGGGCTGATTGCTCCAAGACCCTTGGCTGTGTTGTAACTGGTTTGCCAAGTGGCCTTGTGACCTAGTGAGCTTCTTGTAAGGGGTACAGTTGGTGAGGGCTGAGCAGGAGGCAGGTATGTATATACCTGGTAGGTGTGAGAGAGGCTCTGGGAGGGATAGGTGCACCTGTCCCTGTTTTGATTGGTTGATATTCTGCAGACTACAGCTTAGTATAAAGGCCCTACCTGAGCTGTTTGAAGCAACGGGGACTGGAGTCTCAGGTTAGCTACCAGAGCCCTAACAGCTTCCCAGCTGTTTCTCTAGGTCTGGGCAGCAGCCAAGAAGTCCCAAAGGAAATCTGAGCTTCCACGGCCATTTGTTGTGAAGGGTCATTTCCTACTTGAGCCTCGGGCCCTGGGGCAAGGCCCTCCCAGCCCCCCCCCAACACCTGGATTCTCCAGCTCAAACTGGTGGGCCCCTCTTTACCTGCTGAGGAATAGAAAGCAATTAAGGTAATGATGCCCTGAGGTTGTCACCCTCTCTTCTGAGGCATCCTGGCAAAGTTTGGGCCAAGGATGCTACCTTTGCCAGGGTTGCAGGGGCCTGGATGTGTCAAGACTGGCTGCCCTTGCCCCCTAGCCAGTTTGGCTCAGTGAATAGAGCGTCGGCCTGCGGACTGAAGGGTCCCGGGTTCGATTCTAGTCAAGGGCATGTACCTTGGTTGTGGGCACATCCCCAGTAGGGGGTGTGCAGGAGGCAGCTGATCGATGTTTCTCTCATCGATGTTTCTAACTCTCTACCCCTCTCCCTTCCTCTCTGTAAAAAATCAATAAAATATATTAAAAAAACAAAAAGACTTTGCTGCCCTTAACTGAGCGAGGGTGGGGGGAGGAGTGCCACGCAGCAGGGGCTTCACCCTCCTTGCCACTGTGGAAGTACTAGTATGTTCTCTCTTGGGGAGTTCTGCTCACACTTGACCTTTGATTCCCAAATCAAACGAGATCCTGGGCTCCAGAAGCTGTCAGCCCCCAGAGTCTTCAGAGGCTCAATGTTGGTGTGACCCAAGAGGAGGCCAAGTGACCATCCTTATCTTTTGATAAGATAGGCCTGCCCGGCACAATTGTGAAAGAGGCTGCTGGGACAAGGGGTGTTAAGAAACATTATCCAACCTCAGAAATACGCGAAGGGGGCGTGTTCTGTCAGGGTCATACGGAAGCATTGTTGAACAGGCCTGACCAAGGGTTAATATCTAGGGCAGAGAACCCGCGAAGGGTTGCAGACCAAATCAAGCCTGCCACCTGTTTTTGTAAGTAAAGTTTTATTGGACTAAGCTAAGCCCATTTGTTTACTCATTGTCTGTGGCTACTTTTGTGCTCCCAGAGTAATTGCGACCAAAACTTGCATGCCTGGGTCTTTTCAGAAAGTTGGCCAATCCCTAATCTTGGGGAATGGACTTGGTTTTGACTTTGATATTATTCTGTTAGGACCCAGACACTGAAGTTATTTATGAACTTATATGTTTCTATCCCACAGAGAACATCACGATTTTATTCTAGCATTCTTTTCTCAGAATGCTTACTAATATGTACCTAACTTCTCAAAATGCTCTATGAGCCAGCTTTGCCGAACACTCATTTCCTCATGTAATAAATCTTTGATATATGTTTGTGCTGTATTTGTGTGAGTCATTTTTTAAATATACATGAAAACTATACTTTGACAGGAATTTCCAAAAGGAAGGTGGTGAGAATTTGCCCAGATTTCCTACGGGACAGGCCCAGGGGATGAAAAGATGCATGTTCTGTGTTTGCTGGGCCCACTCAGGGCTTCCCAGGGTGCCTGCCCTGTGCTAACTGCCAGCTCCCTGGGCTGCAGGCCTCAAGACATCTGGGGGACCTGCCCCAAGCCCTGGGCAAATAACAGGCCTGGCAATCCTGATGGGGCGTGGTGTTGGTGTAGAATCCCTGGGCAGGTTAAAGTGTGACCGCTGGCATTTTCCTGTGTCATGGGCCGACAGGAGTCTCTTCTGTGCCTCTCCTTTTTCTCAAGTGGCTTCAAAAAAGACCATGGTACTGTAGGCAGCTCTGCTCAGAGCTGAGAGGAGACTCTAGGGGTGGGGGTACATGAACGGTGGGGACAGTGCCAGGCATTTATTCATTTTAACTCCCCTTCTGGCTGTGGTGGCCATGTCCATACCAGGATCCACTAAAGGAGAGGGTGGTGGGTGTTGCCGGGAGCTGGCTGTATGTGTGCATTTAAAATCCAGAATTCTACTTGTTGCAGCCCCAACCAGTGCACACCTCTCCCCTTCATCCCCTTTCCCTAGGGCTTAGGAGACCCTGGAGTCCATATTTCCTGACCATGAGGTCCTTGAAACCAAAGAAGATCCAACAGGCATGAGGATTTGTGTGAGGCACTAAGGAAGTAGCCAGAGAACCAGGTGTTCATGATGGGGTAGGGACAGAGCAAGCTCAGCCACCCCTGGACCCAAGCCTTGGGCCGGGAAGGGAGAAGGGTCACCCAGCCCTGCAAAGAGGCTCATGAGGTCCATAGGCAGTAGCATCACAACCAAGAGGCAATGAACATGCAAGGGGGTGGGTTGGTGGGCTTCTTGGAGGGTCCACTGTCCCATTCAAGGCTGAAGCCAGGAGAAAAGGTCAACAGGGCCCCAAAAGCCACAGGGCAGAGGGAAGGAGGCAGCCCCTGTCCCTTCATGTCCCCTTTGCTTCCTCTACCCGCCCTCAAAGATCCCAGTATGCAGCCTGCCCGATGGCCTGTCCCAGGACCTGCTGTCACTGTGGACTGCCCCAGCCCAGGACCCACAGGCAAGGCTCTGAGCTTGGCTGGATGAGAGTTTTAGAGAACGTATGGGAAGCTCCCCCCCCTTCCCCATCTGTTAATTATGTTGGAGGTTACTGTGGACCTAGAGCTGGGTCGGGAGGAGGGCAGGGGGGTGATGACCAGAGGGAGCCTTGCTTTGAAGGAAGGGCTGGCTGGAGGAACGCTGGCAGGGCCAGGCCACGGGAGTCGGCACTATGAGTCTTCAGGACACTTGGAGCCTGTGGGGGCTGCAGGGAGAGGACGGCGGAGCCAGGGCAGGCTATGGGGCATGTGGGGGATGGAGGAGTGGAACCCAGGGGCATGGTGGGGACAGCAGCTGGGAGGACAGAGGAGCCCCCCTGGGAGGGAGGGAAGCAAGGAAGAAGGGATGGGGCTGCAGAGGCTATTGGGGCTCCAGTCCTTGGCCACCTCCCCGAGCAGCTGTTTGGGTCCCGAGGCCCACTCCTTCCTCTGGCCCCCACATGAGACCCAGAGCCACAGTTACAGCAGGTTTATTGTTGGCGACAGAGCACTGCAACGCTCTCCCGGGGGCGCGGCCAGCGGCTGTGCGAGAGCAGGTGCAGTGGTGGACAAGAGCCAAGTGGGCGCTGAGGTCAAGGCCTGCTCTCCTGGGCTCCGTGTTCCCGCCCACCTCTCTGCGTAAGGAAGTGCCAGTCCCCTTGGGTTTGGACCATCTTAGGAGTGGTTTCTGGCTGGGTCTGCCCTGGGCAGGAGTGGAAGGTCCTTGGAGAGTCTGGGCTAGCGGCGGTGAGAGCTGCAGGGACTGCAGGGAGCAGCCAGGCCTCTCAGAGGAGCAGGAGCCTCCGGTTCCCCTAGAGGCTTCATGTGGGTGATGATGGGCCAAAGCCGTCAGCTTTGGACTCCTGGATGCCCTGGTCCCTGGCTACCAAACTCACCAGCCCAGGAGAGACCTAGGCCCTGCACCCCAAGGAGAGGGACTGGGGTGAAGGGCTGAGAGTGCACCAGGGGTGTCCAGGCGCCGGCAGGGGGCTGGGTGAGGAGTGCAGGCCAGGCCTCACGTCTGCAGCTCCAGGAGGCAGTTGTTCTCTGAGGCCGGGGAGCTGGCGGGGCTGCAGCTGTGCGCCTCCCGGAGGTCCTGCAGCACCTGCAGCAGCTGGGCCAGCGGGTCCTCTGGTGCTGAAGGCAGGTGCAGTTTGAGGGCAGAGCAGGCTGGGCCTCGCCTCCCAGGGCTTGTCCCAAAGGTCAGAGGGCCCCCAGAAGTGGGCCTCAGGAGCCCCACCTACAGCATCCTGAGCGGGGCTCAAACCACCGAGAGAGTCCCGATGGAAAGGACCTACCTTCGCCCGGGCCTGTGAGCGGGGAGCCGGCCCCTGCGCCCGCACTCAGCTCCTGGTGCTTCTCCCTGCGGGAGGACAGAGAGGGCTCTTGTTGCCCTTGCTGGGAAGGCTGGGTGGCCCAGGGTGGGCCTCTGAGCCAAAGGGGCTGACTCTTTCAATCTCTGGGGACGAAACCTGGGCCCAGGTCTTGGCCCCCGGTCACCTCCTGCCTTCCCTCTTCCAGCCTCCTCCCCTGGTTTCCCCACCCTCCCCACTGCAGCTCGGCAGAAGGCACTTGGGAAACCAAGTTCGACCACGTGCTCCTGTTTTGGAGGGCCCTTGGGGAAAGAGCCCGCTGGGGCCTGAAATTCCTGCAGTATTAACTGGCCACGGAACGAGCTAACTGGCACGGAGACAGTGACATCTTAAGCACGTTCCTAACCGGCTGTCCCCAGTCCGGTCAGGTCCGATCCTCTGTGCACCTCCGTGGAGGG